AGGGAGGCTCCTGTTGTGGAGAGTTATTCAGAAGGGACTGAGAAGGACTCCCAGCCACTTAAGAGGAACCAATCTGCGACACTCGACGACCCTCTTCCTCAGGCAGCTTTTACTCCAGTTGCTTCTCCTCCTAGGTCGATCGAGGAGGTTACTCCATCGCCAGTGGTCCCAACTACCGTGCCCATGATTTTGATATCGGAAATATCGGTAGTTACATTGCCGTCCTCAACTCCTCCGAATGCCCCAGCTGCTGCCTCCACCAGCTCAGTCAGGTTGCAAGATCGGTGTCTGAACTTGTAGCGACGTAGCTTGGAGAGTTTGTTGGGCCATCGGTCGGAGATATTTCTAGTTTTCAGCATGCTCCTTGTCCATTGAGGGAGACTACCACAGCCTTCCCCTCACCTTTGCGTGAATCCTCCAACCTTCTCACAAGGAGTTAGGGAGAAAAGGAACAGAACTTCTTATGGGAGATACCTGTTGGGGAGGCCATTGTCACTACTCAACTTCATGGTCATCACTCCATTTTGTACATGATGTCGGTGGTGGACAAGGTACTTGTCCTTAGTAATGCTTGTGTTTCAGAGATTTTTTTACTTATCGTGTTTTAACTATATTTACTTTTTGACCTTCTCAGGTAAAAGTCGAACTCGGCAAGCTACTTGAGGCCAAGGATCAGGCCGTAAAATTTTATAAGAGTATGAATGAGGAGAAAGCGAATTTTGCTGCCAAGGAGGAGGATTACAAAGGTCAGCTTCAAAAAATGGGTGAGGAGCTAAATGTTGTGTTGACCTCTGAGCAGAATCTCTAGGATGAGGTTGCTGCTTTAAAGATTTGGAGTGAAAAGGCCAACAAGAGGGCCAAGATGGAGAAGAAGAGAGCCGAAGAGGAGAGGGCGCAGGCGGAAGAGCTGAGGGCCCAGGTTTTTGAGGAGTGTTCTCATATGTTAAAGGCTATCAAGAAGATGGAGGAAGCTCATGCGAGGTCAAAGGACGCAATGAAGAGAGTTGAAGAGGCTGAGGCCAAAGGTGTCAAAGCTGTGGAGGCTTGGAGAGAATCTCTGGAGTTTGACGCCTCAGCCTAAGATACGTATGTAGTGGCCTTGGAAGAGTTGATAAAGCACGTCCGAAGGGAGAGGTCGGAGTTTAATGCTACCTTTCTGGACGAAACACTGGGCGAGTAGAGGAAGGAGCTGCGCAAATTGTCCGAAGCTGCTGGAGTTCGGATATCTCCTGCTGACCAGGATGTTGAGGGTAGCGCCCCAGTCCCCCAAGACCACTAGGAGGTTGTTGTTTTGAAGATATTTGATATTTTGTAATATGTTTTGACTCATTTAAGAACTTCATTTCGATGTTTCATGGCATTTTGTTTGGAATGGATGACTGTTTATGTTTTAACATGATTTCTATAGCAACAATCTCGTTTATATGCGACAATACCTCACAAACTTAGCTAAAATTGCCTTCCTAATGGGATGTTTTGACTATGTGTCGTAGCACGTATGACCTTAGCTAGAATTGCATATAGGGAAGGATCTTTGAGAATTTCTAAGGAAGAATTCTCATTAGGTATCGTAGCGTGTATGACTTTAGCTTGGCCTGCGTAATTTCACAGAATTCCTTAGGGAGAATTTTTGTAGAATAATCTTAGATCGGCCTGCATAGGGAGCAAGGCTTTGTAAGATTTTTTAGGAGGAATTTCTACTAAGGGTAACACGTACAGCCTTAGATCGGCCTGCGTAGAGAGCAGGGTTTTGTAAGATTCCTTAGGAAGAATTTTCACTAAAGGTCGCAGTACTTATGACCTTAGATCGATCTGCGTAGGGAGCAGGGCTTTGTAGGATTCTTTAGGAGGAATGTTCACGAAGGGTCGCCGCACTTACGACCTTAGATTGTCCTGCGTAGGAAGCAGGGCTTTGTAGGATTCCTTAGGAGAAATTTTCACTAAGGGTCGCAGCACTTACGACCTTAGATCGGCTTGCGTAGGGAGTAGGGCTCTGTAATATTCTGACAGAATGTTGAATAAAATGTACAAAAATAGGAAGTCCTTTTTTTTATTGATGTGATTGGCATTACAAGTGGGTTTTATGGACTTTTTCGTTTACCAATAGAACTGCTTGAGGTGTTTGGCATTCCAAGGATGGGGTTAGGTCTACCCCCCAAGTTTTACAGTTTATATGCCTCTTTTGGCGAGACCTCCATCACCAGATAGGGGCTTTCCCAGTTTGGACCCAGGTATCCACTACCTACTTTTCTTTGTGAGGATTCGACCTCGAATACTTATGTTCGGATTCCATATGTTCGCCATATGCACTGTCGGGGGGTTGCATTGATTATTGGTATAGGCTTTCCACTGACATCTTTCGACAAGCTCCCTGTTCCCTTTGACTTCAACTACACCATGGGGTATGGGAAATTTGATAGAATAGTGATACAGGAAAACTGCTACTCTCAGGCTGAAGGGTAAGGGTTGTCCCATCACAACATCATAAGGGGAGGCAGTGTCGAATACCACGAACTTAGAGTTAGTCTTCACCTGCCGGGGTGCTGATCCTGACTCAACTTTGAGTTTGATTGATCCTTTGGCAGAGGTCAAGGCTCCGCTTAATCCTAGGACCATATTCGGGTATGGTCGAAGGAAATTAGCAAGGATGCCCATCCATTTAAGGATATTACTAAATAGGATGTTCAGAGCGCTTCCTATATCTACCAAGACTTTGGAGATGGTTACCCCGGCCACAGGCAACGAGATAACCAGAACTCCTAGGTAAGGGTGTGGGTCCACCTCCTTCTCCTCAAAGGACAGTTGCTCATCTGTGCTTTTTTGAGGTTCTTCTCAGTTATGCCGATCTTTGAGAGATTCGTAACGACTGGTCTTTTCAATCTGGCCTCCCCGACTTGCATGTTTGTCCTGTCCCTTAGCATGTTGACTTGTGGCCTTAGCAGGTCGACATTGCAGGCCCTCGCAGTAGCTTGATCCCCTCGGATAATTCCTGTCCCATAAAAAGTGGAAAATTTCATGCAATAATGGTAAATTGAGGTGGCAGCTTTCAGTTCATGCAAAATGGGTCGTCCCAATATTGCATTATAATTGGATGGCAAATTGACCACCACAAAATCTGCTAGGATCCTTCTTTGGCTAGGAGCTTCACCCCAGCTCTACAATACGGATGATCTGACCTCAGGCTTCAATAGGATCCCCAGAGAATCCCTGTTGTTTCTTTGGATACGGTTGGAGATATTGTCTGATATTTCCAACTGCCTCAAAGTTCGTGAGTACAGTAAATTGATTGAGCTTCCATTGTCTACCAAAGTTCGATGGAATTTTACTCCAACAACAGTCATTTTAACCACTAGGGCGTCACTCTGGTCCTGAAGGATTCCTTCAAAATCTTCTTCCGTAAACCAGAACCATTCAGGGTCTATACCGATCCTGGGGGTTGGATCCCAGTAGTTCAGCATGGTTCTAGCACTTCGGGCTTGTCTTCATCTTGTCCTTCTAGATCCCTCAACATACTGATTTCCTCCCACCATCATCTTGATTTCAGCATGTAAGGGTGGATTACGGTTGGGGACTACCTGTTGAACTCGCGTAGGAGGCCCCTGTAGTAGCAGCTGCTGCATTGTAGGTCGATCTACTTCTTTTAGCTTGGCAACAAACTCCTGTAACTGACCTCTTAAAATTAGGGGCTCAACTTCCTCTTTTAAGTCCCGACAGTTATCAGTGTCATGGCCCACCATCCTGTGATATCGACAGTACCGTCCCTAATGTTGTCTTGCCTATCCATCCTTTAGGATCATGGGTCTGCGAAATGCCTCTTTCGCATTGGCTTACGTGAATACCTCTTCCAAGGAGGCTTTGAGTGGGTGGTATTCTCGAAATTTGTATGGCTGAGACCTAGGACATTCTTTTTCTCTCCTGTTCTTCTTTCTTTTGGGTTGGGGCTGCGATTTGGTTTTTTCTCCTTTACCGCGTTGCTGAGGTCGAGTTCGGAGATCTTCTCCTCTTGGTTAGAGATCGCTTCTTCAGCACTTATGTATTTCTCAGCTCGGTTAAGGATCCCCAGAGAATCCCTGTTGTTTCTTTGGATACGGTTGGAGATAGTGTTCTGATATTTCCAACTGTCTCAAAGTTCGTGAGTACAGTATGTTGACTGAGCTTCCATTGTCTACCAAAGTTCGATGGACTTTTACTCTAGCAATAGTCATTGTAACCACTAGGGTGTCACTCTGGTCCTGAAGGATTCCTTCAAAATCTTTTTCCGTAAACTAAAACCATTCAGGGTCTATACCGATCCTAGGCGTTGGATCCCAGTAGTTCGGCATGGTTCTAGCACTTCGGGCTTGTCTTCGTCTCACCCTTCTAGATCCCTCAACATACTAATTTCCTTCCACCATCATCTTGATTTCAGCATATGAGGGTGGATTACGATTGGAGACTGCCTGCTGAACTCGCGTAGGAGGCCCCTACAGCAGCGGCTATTGCATTGTAGGTCGATCTGCTTCTTTTGGCTTGGCAATAAACTTTTATAATCGACCTCTTCGAATTAGGGACTCAACTTCCTCTTTTAAGTCCCGACAGTTATCAGTGTCATGGCCCACCATCCTGTGATATAGGCAGTATCGTCCCTGATGTTGTCTTGCCTGTCCGTCCTTTAGGATCATAGGTTTGTGAAATGCCTCTTTCGCATTAGCTTGCGTGAATACCTCTTCCAAGGAGGCTTTGAGTGGGTGGTATTCTCGAAATTTGTATGGCTGAGCCCTAGGACATTTTCTTTCTCTCCTGTTCTTCTTTCTTTTGGGCTGGGGGCTGCGATTTGGTTTTTTCTCCTTTATTGTGTTGCTGAGGTCGAGTTTGGAGATCTCTTCCTCTTGGTCAGAGGTTGCTTCTTCAGCACTTATGTATTTTTCAGCTTGGTTAAGGAACTCATGATAAGTCCTTGGACTGTCCTCGTGTACTGAACACCAAATTCTTATTTTGGGCCTCAATCCTGCTAGTACGGCCATGAGTACCGCATCGTCAGATATTTTTTCCACTTCCATGGATTGTTTATTAAACCTGCTCAGATGGCTTTTGAGGGATTCACTTCTTCCTTGTTTGATGCTCACTAGTCGCTCCTTTGGCGTGGTTCTGGCCTTAGAGCCCATGAACTGGGCCAAGAACGCCATGGCTAGATCATTCCAATTCTTTACCAATCTCTCGTGTAGTCTCCTAAATCGTATTTGAGCATTGTCTCCTAGAGTCAAGAGGAATGCTCGGCACATGATTGCATTGCTTGCCCCCTGTAGTTCCATCCACGAGGTGTATTTGTCAAGGTGGCTGAGGGGATCACCATCCCCTTCGTATGCAACGATCTGGGGGATTTTCAATTTTTCAGGCAGTGGTTCTATAAGGACATCCTCAGTGAAGGGGGAATGTCGTTTGGTTTGATAATCTTCAGTGCCACCTTTGTTTTTAACCTCCGGGTCGGCGATGCATTTTTTAAGTGTGCTCAATTTGGGTTCTGCTTATTCCAATGGATGTTTTAGGTCGGCTTGTTCTAGCATAGGAGTCAATGATTGTTGGGTCCCCAAACTGTCGAACACGCTTGCAGTCCTCCTTGCCTTAAGTTCCTTACTTCTTACCTCGTCAGTTCGGCTTCTTGAGGATTCTCCCCTTGAAAAGTGGAGGGTCCTCCTCTTGGGGGACACCTTGCCTATGTCTTTACGAGGGATTCCATCTCGGTATCTAGTGGGGACGAGTGGGCTTGACTCTTTTCCAACCGTCCCACTGCGTTTGTCAATTTTTCCAGGGCTTACCTCATGGCGATCATTTGAGGGTCCTGTTGTCGTGGAGAACTTGGTGGTGTGTTCATTTCATGAGGGTGGGTGTGAGATGGATTTCTGGAATTTGAACTACGACTCATGGCTCTCGAATTTTATGGAGAGAATGAGACTATTTTTCACAATTAGGGCCCTCCTTCTAGCGCCAAACTGTTGATGTCAAAATTAGCAAGGCTAATCTTAAGCCAACTTTAAGAAAAAAAGGGCAATTTATTATTGAAAAAAGACCACAAAATATGTTTAGAGAGTATAATTATGCATTGAGTTGTTGTATAAAAATCACCTGCCCTTTTAAAAGAGTCCTATTCAACTATTTATACATAGTTTCAGCCGAAATTATATCAAATCAGTCAAATCAAGAACAGTGCCGAGCTAGAAACTCAGGTCACCAAATTCTCCTGTGATTGGTCGATGAGGCCGATTGTCATGTGTCAATGTGTTACCTAGGTAATGATGACCTACAAGGGGCTAGAGTTCGAGGACTTGGAATTGTTGTTCCGGGCGGCGATAATGTCACCTGTGGCAAGTGTATCTGATTGATAGGGTGATGTGACAAGGGGTAATTATGACGTTTTTCTGGGATAACGACGGGTTTGTCCGACCTGGGAGTATGGGCCAAACTTACATTTAACTGAGGTGGGGTTAGCGAACTGTTTTTATTAGGTCGGAATTCGGAAGTCAACAGATTACATGATAAATTTTTTAATGCATATTCCTTGATATAAATTGTTAAATTTATCTTGCAAATCATCTTGTTTGTCATAATCAAAAAGGGAGAAATTGTTGACATATGATCGACTTAACCTCAATATTTTGATAATAACAAACAAGATTATTTCTAACAAATTATTTTTAGTAATGATAGTTCAATGTTCAAATCAATCATGTATTATCGGACTTCAAATGAAGATTAAAATAGAAGCCATGTATTCAAGTCAAATCATTCGAGACAAAAAGCTTAAGAGATAAATACCAAAAAAGATCAAAATCAAGAGCGTGAGAGACGACATCAAAGAAAGATCAAGACGAGGCAAACTTTGAAGTAAAGACTTGATTTCTTAGGCAAAATGTAAAGGTACTAATACTTTAATATTTGGCAAAGAATAGTTAAGCTCAAGATATTGCCATGCATTAAAAATAATTTTTGTGCACTAAAATAATTCGAATACAACCTTTTTTTTAATCAAACATGGAAATGACTTTTAAAAATGATATATGAACTTTAAAGACATTTTTATTATAAAAACTTAGTTAAAAATATTCTCCAGAAGTCCATACACTTCAAACTTTCAAATCGGAAACGTGAAAAGACCGCACTGCCAGGGACCGGACCGGTCGACCGGCCATGGGAGGCGGTCAACCGGACCTCTCCAACGGTCCAAAATTTGACCATTCTGACTTCTGATTTTTACTGTACAAACGGCTATATAGGTCTTCCGGACAAGAGGCGGTCGACTGGATGAGTCATCCACAAATTCAGATTTTTTTTAACGTTTTGGACTCTATAAATACCCCAACCTCTTGCATTAATAATCATCACTTCCAAGAGCATTAAATTGAGATACTTCGAGCTTTAACTCTCTACTCATTATTTATCTTTATAAATTCATTCACTTTTGGAAAACTTTTGATTGAGTTTACTTTTGAAAATCATTTATCAAAGTTTTTCAAACCTAACACTTGAGTTTTACTTATTGCCATTCATTAAAGTGTTAGCCTACTTTTCTCCATTGTACTCAACTTTGAATATATCTTTATTGTGGGAGAAGATTCCTTTTTATAAAGCTTACTTTTAATTGAATTGTAGGTCGTATTGAAGTCCCGAAAAGTTCAACGGTTGTAAAAGGATCGGTGCTCCTTGCTTGTAAGTCACCTGAAGCGTTGTAAGGGTTGGATTGCAGCATAAGTCAATCAATATAGTGAAAAAGGCATTGCTCGTGACAGAGAGCTTGATAACGGAGGACGTAGATCGGTTGAGTTGGATCGAACCTCCTATCAAATCATTTGCATTCTCTATCCTTTTTACTTATTAGCTTTACATTATCTTCATTATTCAATTTCATATTTGTGCAATAGATATATCTAGAATTAATTTTTGAAAAAGTTTTAATAACCAATTCACCCCCCCCCTCTTGGTTAGTCATTCTTGGGCTTTTTGTTATTGTATAAAGAAGACATTTCTTTTTCCATAGCAGCCAACCACCTTTTAGAATCTTTAGATTTTAAAACTTTATGATAGGAACTAGATTCAAATTCTATTCTTCGTAAGTGAATAAAGACACAAAGTCATCACTATTAAACCTTGCAGGTGGTCTAATTTGTCTCCAATCCATGTCTCTAGTGATCTGATCTAGTATTCATCCAGTGGTGTATCTATGTTGTCATATTTCTCAAGTTCTATCAAATCACATTCATTTTCATTCAAGTCAGCCTCAGTAGTTTCAGTTTCTAAGGGAAAGGAACTTGTATTATCAATTTTAACAGGCTCCACCTCAATTTTGACATCTTTTTCAGTTAAATTTCCTTTCTTTTCATCCAAACATGGCATACATGACTCATTAAAAACCACATCCCTTCCGATGATAACCTTGTAACCTTTTTCTCCATAAACCCACAACCTGTACCCTTTAATATTTTTAGCATAGCCAAAACACACACTTGAGTGATCTTGGGTCAAATTTCCCTATGTTTTGATGAGCATATGCAACACAACCAAAAGTTTTCAAATAAGAGTACACAACAAGCTTTTGTGTCTGCACAGATTCAGGCACATCAACATTTAAAGCACTTGTAGAACTTCTATTAATCAAATATACAGCATTTTTAATAGCCTCACCCCAAAACAATTTGGGCAACATTGAACTTAAGAGCATATATCTAACCTTATTCAATAAAGTCCTATTCATTCTTTCTGCAATGTCATTTTGTTAGGGTGTATATGTTACAGATCTATGTCTTAAAATGCCATGTAATTTACAGAAATCATTAAACTCATAATTGAAAAATTCTAGACCATTGTGTGTCCTTAAAGTTTTGATTTTCAATTTGGATTTTTCAATCTTTAAATGTATTAAATATCTCATCTTTAGTTTTCAAAAGAAAGAACCAATTTTTTCTTGAAAAATCAGCAATAATCAAAAGGTTATCAGATAATGTACGGGTAGATGCAGGGCCCCACAAATCAGCATGTAAATTGTTGTCAATTTTATATCCACAAGTGTATGGATTGAAACAAGTAATAAGTGGACTTAAAAGTTCACCTTGTCGATATCACGAGGGCTATACTCTAGCACTTAATTCAATTTTTTTCTACCACTAAATGATGAAAACAAATAAAAAGTTGTAGGATTTGGATTTTAATCTAAATGCTAGAAAATAAATTAATGTACACACTATTTGTTTGAAAATCAAATAATGATTGGACGTTAGGGCAGAATTACTTCACCTATTGATCACATTTACATCTCAAATTAAGATTCATATCTAATGGAGCGTTCAATCGAATTCTCCTACTGTATTCAATTTACCCCTCTCGAATTCTCATTGAGCCTATTTAACTAATTAAATTCAATATCTCTATG